ACTCGAATAGTATAAGCATTTGAAAGAAAAAGTATATATATTTAAGAAAATTTAAGCTGTTTAACTTGCATCATACAGTTAATTTACTTACATAATTACACTGCAAAGTCATAAAAAATTAAAACATAAATACATCTTTATATATAACATGAATAATACAAATCATTATTTTACTAACCAAATAATATTAATTGAATTTCAGTGTTTTAAATACACTATTTGTTCTATCTTAGATATAAATATTGTAAAAGTATTGACTCGTTTTTTAATTTCTTATATAAAAATGTTATTCATACATATGATATTAATAATAATATATGAAGTAGAATATATAGTAAAAATCTAAATGAAATATAATAGTTCTTGGATTATTTTAAGCAACTTTAACTTAACATAAAACTTATGAATAAAATAAGATTTAAATTATTTAAAGAAGGCGTCAAATATTCATTTATTATATACACTTAACATTGAAATGGCAGTTAAATCTTTTTCTTATGAATTTGGAATTTTTGTACTTAAATATAATTTAAAACACTTTCATGAAAGTAATTTAAATATATTTACCATATATAATTAAAAATATAAGAAATTGTATTTTAATTAAAATGATAATAACAACAGTTTTTATTTCGTTTCATTTCACGTTTCGACATAATTTAATAAAAATTCTAAATCTAACAATTTAATATTAAAAAAAAAAAAAAACTTTGTAATAATTCCTAATTATTTTTTTATTTTTTTATGCTATTTAACTTTGTTATATTACAAATTAAAATAATTCAAACAAAAATCAGAATGACTGAATATATTTCTTGGAGCGCAATTCGTAAGAACTTATATTATTATTGATTTCTTGTTCTACTATGAATATATGTATTAAAATTTTAAATACTTTTATTATTTTTTTTTCAAATTAAAATTTACAAAATTTAATTTATAAAACTTTCCATTTAAATAATAGCAATTAGGAATATCCAATTGAAATTATTGATAATATTGAAAAAGTTACTACGACGCATAATTCGATATACGAAATACAAAATTTTATTTATAAATAATTGGCAGAGTAAAGATTATCATTAGTTACTTTTATAAAAGTTTTAATTATTAAAAAAAATTTCAAGGAAACTTTCAAAATCAATTTTCAATCTATTTTTCATTTTAAGAAAATTAATAATTTTATTTCTAATTTTCCGACATATTGATGAAAAAACAGATTGTTCATTTTAAACTACTAGTTAGCAATTTATTTTGAAATATCTTTAATAATTTCATTATATATTCGCTCATTCATTTTAAGTAATGTTTTGATCAAATAATTATAAAAATGGGTAAAATTATATTTTCATATACGTCATTATAAACAAATCATTATAAACATTTTAAAAATTCCTTACCAAGGTTAATTAAGTACAAATCTGCCCTCGATTTATAAAACGTGATATATTAATAATAATAGTTGCAAATAGAATAATGGAGTGATACAAAATTTTAATTAGTATAAAATATTTATTTACTATGTGAGCTCTGCATAATAGAGAACTAATTTCATGTCCCTAAATTGACAATTTCATATAAATTAATTAAATAATAAGTAAAATAGATTTTCTTAAATTATATATTTTGGTTAACGTGTTTAGTAAACTGAATAATACAAAATAAAAAAGTAATTAATAGTAAATCCTATGACAATGGATAATAGAATATAATAGAAAATAAGCAATAATTGATACGTAATAATATGTTATTTAAACATCCAAATAATCGATGATCTAAACAATGGAAAATAATATATATCATAAGCAAGTTAAATTATGATTGTCTTGTTTACATTGCTATTGTTAATATATAATAAATCATATGTTCATACAAAATATATATTCTTAAATTAAAATTTTTGACAAATAACATCATTATAGTAAGGGATTACAATAAATCGAGAAAATGATATTTATACTAAATATGTATCGACATAATTATAATTTCTTTTAAAACTTTCTTTAAAAATTGAAAATTTGATAAAACTCTAATTACTAAACTCACTATATATGAGTCAGCATTTATAGAATCATTATTTTTTTTATGAAATTTTTATTCAAAAACTTCACTCGAAAATATTGAATACAGAATAAAAAACAAAATTCATAAAGCTAAATTCGTTTTAAATTCCTAATTGTTTAAACACGCGAATTGAAAAAAAAAGTTTTTTTTTTTTGAAAATAAACAGAAGTCTATGGTATTTGAAAAGAAATTTTAATATTCATTGTATCACAAAATGTTCATTATAATAATTTCATATATTTATGTAAAAATGTGCGATTAAAACTGAAATTTTACTTTGATAATTAAGAGCATCAGCAGCATTAATATTATGTTCATATTTTATTAATATTTCATTTACATAATTTCCTAAAAATCTTATAGATGAAAATAGATTACTTAAATTATTTTCAGGCATCAATGTATAAGGTAATTAATATTTAATTATATTCATTGTTAATCAATAATTCAATATCGGCTATAAATCATTAATATTATTTCGTACTTGTGTGTAGTATAAATAATTTAATACGAAAGCTAGCCAAACAACATCCAAGACAAATAAATATATAATAACTAAAAGCTTTAACTCTCACGCAGGACTCTCGAGCTAACAATTTAACCCTGCTAACATAATTAGAAACATGCTCCTACTAACCGACTATCTTTCCAAGTCGGTTTTAAATAAATACCTGATAGAACTGAAAACCACACTACATATAATATTCGTATAGCATATATATCCTTGCCATTGGTCTTAATGGTTATATTTCGTGCACGCAATGAAGGACATGAGATAACGAAAAACATTCGACACTATTTCCAGGTTTTAAGTACGAAACGACAAATACAGCGAATATTGTCCCTACCTTGAGAGAAGGTGGAGAGCAATATAGACCGAATTAGAACGGAAGGATGG